GAAGAAAGAGCTTCGGAAAACAAGCCTTTGCTGCTGCTGGAAGTGGCCTGCTGGGGAAACCAAACGCCTGGCGATCGAGCTGAGCTACAATGGCCTGATGGAACAGGGCGGCAGGGTGCGCGGACTCTACGGCCAACTGAATATCGGATGTTGAATCAAACGAAGGCTGGAACACGCCAAGTAGGATTAATTGCGAGGCTGCGTCGTCAAAATGGAAACTCAGAATTCCCTTTGTCTGAAAAAAGAAACAAAAAGTTGGTAGAAAACTGAATTGACACAAAACAGTCGAAAAATGGAAACAATAAGAAGTTCGTTTTATCCACAACTTGAATTACCCCAACGATCAGAAACTGTCCTTTTTTCTTTTTAATGGGAACAATTGCTGTAGAGAAAAGTGGGACTTCTGAAATGATATCTGGAAAGAGAATTGACGGAACGGCAGACTCCCAAGGCTCTCGACATTCATTTGGCCAATCGGGATGAGATGCCCAACTCGATTTCAGAGGAACTCTGAATATGACGAGTTGGCTGCTGGAAAATGTCTTAGAGGTGCTTCTGTTGAGCGAGTCATCATAACTATAGAATGATGCATTAATACTCACTCTTGTTTCACGCAAAGAGCAGATAAAGTCGCTATTGAGTCGTTCGCGCTCTCGATCCATTGGATGGCGATGACATCACCAGGACAGGAAAGAAGTAATCCGACAAATGGGGGAGGAACCCCAAATGTAACTAAACCGAGTTGGGCGTTAATATCATGAGCAACGAGAGATTGACCTAAATTCTGATCCAAGACAGAAGAAATTCCGAAGCAGCAGAAAATCCATCAATACTAGCCACGTGCAATCAATTAAGAAAGCCTTACGTCATTCGGATCCTCTCTGTTGTCAACGTGGACTCGCAGCTCATTCGATGGAGGTGATGTTGGGACAGTGGATACCCGAAGTTGAGCATCTTCAGCAAGAACTCGTAGAACTCTTTCAATTGGAGAATTGCCGCTGAATATATTTGCGATAGTACGATCGACATACGAGGCTGGTGATTCAGACGGAACAGTCCGATCAAGATGACGATTAAGACGTTCAAGAAATTCACGACATTTTTCATTGGATTCAAATTCCTGATGTGCTGCGACACGCGCCCGTTTTTCCTTAAAGACATGAAGAAGACCCAGTAGAGACAATCTTTCATTGAGAGTTTCTGGTGAGGCTGGACTTCCAAGTTTTCCAACAAAGACGCAATCAAGATGACAAGCAACAGCAACGAGTGGCGAATGAAGTGAATTGAGAGGAAAGTGAACATCGAAAGATTTACGGGCTCCATTAGTTGTTTGCTTCCACTGATGAACAACTTGAGGTTCTGAATGAGAAGTGTTTGCTGTAAGGAATAATGTGGTATTGGCGTTATTGCTGGTAGGAGAGTGGGAAAGAGAAGATTGAATGAAGCCGGATGTCGATTGGGTTGCGATTGATTATAGAGATCGAAGTATAGGGATGGAATTCGATTTGATGCTATACTTCCATAATCAAGATTCAACAGAAAACGATTTACTTCAGAATTCCAACGAAGTAAACAAAGACGACTTTCATTTGTGAGACATAACAAACCATCCATGCATGAGGGACACAATGGAACATCGTGTTGGATGGATTCATAAGAGAGATTGTCGCAAATTTCAGATGGAATGACCTGAAGAATGAAGAACGCATTTTCTGGAATCAATTTCAAGAATTACTTCAAGATCAAGAAGAGAGCCATCCAAAATTTGATGATGAAGACGTTCAATTCTAGATTCATTGTAAATTGACAACGAAGACCCCTGAAGATACAAAATATGAGAGATGATTTGAAATGACGATAGAATTTGAACATTCCAAGAATAAACGAAAATACTTACACGAACAATGACCAATTCCAATGCTTGTCCCTTTGACCGAAATCTTCCTTTTCGGCGTAGAATTCGACCGTTTTGAATTGGTTCCTCAACGGTTTGGATGAAATTCATCGGAGTTGGTTCTATTCGCTGATAAGAACGCTCATCAACATTCAGCGGAACAAACTTTGGGACACACAGCCGTGAAGTTGCCGCTATGGATTCTAGCAATGAAGCCAGAAGCGAAGTGTTTCTTCGCACTTCCACTGGCCATCGCAATTTTTTGAAGTCGTTCGGAGTAGAACTCGAAGAACTTTCTCCAGGCATCTCTACGTGTTGATTTTCCCCCATTGGAGCGTTTAACTGTTGGGTAATCGTTCCTTCTTCCTCTTCTCGACCTTCATCATCGAATACACGACGCACTTCGTCTCCAAGGATTAAACTGTCATCGGCCTCTCTATAGATTCTTCTAAGAAAATCCGATTGGGGACACACTCTCGTAATTGTTTCTCATAAGGACCAGTAGAGTTGACTGTTTGAATACAGGACACAAAATCTCTCCCCATACACAAGACTGTACATCATAGAACATGAAAAAAACCAAAGAGTGCGGTTATGGTGACGATGCAGTCCCTCGTGAGCCTCTTGGTGTCGCAGTGATGTCAACTGTTTTGCTTCGTTGGGCGTTGACGGACATTTCGACTGATTCCCGAGCACGTGCTTTCCGTCGTCTGAAATTCCGTCACTATGAAACAACACCAGGACGATGCGTACCTAAGACAGCTCTGTACAGAGGTTTAGGAAGAAGTTCGTCTAGTATTAGATTTAGGACAGCCCAACTGATCGCAAAAGCGTATTGCCTGGAAAGGACAGACAGCCTCAGTACATGCTTGTCTAGCCATCGATGCTTATCGTCTCACCACCACGCTATTGGGAGTGACAGCGAAAATTGATCGGAGCCCAGGAATAATTGTAATCAACAAAGTAGAAGCCGCGGAGAGAGAGCATGCGAGATGCATCCAAGGATTTCGATTAAAAACAAAGAGAAAGAATTCCCACGAACGAACAGTATACGCACGAAGCATCTCGCAATAGACTGCAGTGATGAATGTTTGCGTCGTAGCAATTGTCGATCCGCGGGCATTCACCCATTCGTACTTGGATGGAACCTGCTGCTTCGACGGAACACACCAGCCGTCGCATCCCTAAATAGAGAATTTTAACCAAACAACAGATTTCTCGTTCTTACAGTATCAATTCCAAAATCTGCAGGCCGATAGCTTCTCTGAAGGGTTTCCTTGTTTCACTTTTAACAATTGAATAAATGAATTCTGATGTATATCAAAATAATCGATTGATGTGTAGAAGCCTCCAGGTTGACCAAAAGGGGCGCTAAAAGACGGAACATATTCAGCAGACTGACAATAATATCTTATGTTCTTCTCAGTATCTGTCGACGTGGTCAAGCATTGGGCGTTGATGTCCTTCACCAAAATTGCACCTAGAGAAGAGAAGTGGGACGGAATCGAGACGTGGGATCCCACCAGTCGACAAGTACATTGCGAAAACAAGACACCCGATGACGGCAGCCGCCTCGAATATTGTGTGAGGAATGTTTCCGTATATCCACCAGTCTTTCGTCATAAGATGTTCTTTGGGATTGCGTGGCGGTTGCTAATAAGAGAGTTTACTAATAAGACGGAAACAGCTTCACTCACGTTCATGATATCTCCATCCGCAGGTTCTCGTGCAAGCGCAACAGCAGGGCAACCATCGGACATCAAATTCAAGAACAGAATCTGAAGTGCTTCAACAGGCATTTTCATTCCCGCCGCAATAGCAATTGTCAGATACATAATCTCCCCAATATTCGTTCCCAATAAGAAGCAAACAAACTTCTGAATATTCGTATAAATTTTCCGACCTGCAAAATACAGCAGCGACATATTTTCCATCACAAACAACTATTCATACCTTCTTCAACAGCGGAAACAATTGTGCAGAAGTTATCATCCATCAGAACCATCTCTGCTGCTCCCTTTGCGACATCAGTTCCAGTGATGCCCATAGCAATTCCAATATGAGCGGCTTTCAATGCAGGGGCGTCGTTGACACCATCGCCAGTCATTGCAACAATTTCACCTTGGCGGGCCAGCGAATTCACGATTGCTATTTTATCTTCCGGTTGAGCTCGAGAGAATATCCGAATCTTTTTCGTGATTTCGTCAAGTTCATTTTCAGGCAAATGCGGTTTCGAAGCATCTCTATCTTCATGCAAACATGCGCAGACGACAACTTCTGAATCTTCAGCGGTCCGATCGCTGATGACAAAAACAATTTAAGACTGCACAACCACGGAACAACCACGGAACAACCACGGAACAACCACGGAACAACCACGGAACAACCACGGAACAACCACGGAACAACCACGGAACAACCACGGAACAACCACGGAACAACCACGGAACAACCACGGAACAACCACACGAACACCGCACCCTTCAATGAGCCCAATCGATCTCCCGATCGCTGCTGCTGTTGGTTTCTGGTCTCCAGTTATCATGATGACTTTCACGCCAGCACCGTTGCATTGTTCGATTGCCTCCTTGACTCCCACACGGGGGGGATCTAGCGACCCCATGAGCCCAAGCATCACCACAGGACCCCTTCAACATGAAACTCAAACGCTGATCAGCCTCTTCCATCGAGCGCAGGGCACCGACATCTCCGGCTGTCAAGGGAACGAAAGTAAACGCAAGAACCCGCAGGGCATCCGCGGACATCATCTCGTTGAAAGACAGAATGTTTAATAGTTCATCATCAGAAATCGATGAAGACTCCCAATCGATTTCAACTCTTGAATCATTCGCGTTTTTTAACCAAATATTTCACATTCTGAGAGAACGTCAAGTGCAGCAGACCAAAACACATCAACTCACTTGTGTGACTCGATCTGGTGCGCCCTTAACAACAGCAACATGAGAGAAACAAGTCCCGCCCTTCCCAATAAATATGCGATCAAAATAATTCTCTTGTTGAAGTCGATGGATCGTTGCCATCATTTTACGACTCGAATTGAAGGGAACTTCTAATTCTCGGATTGGTTGATACAATGACAGACCATCTTGACCGAGGGCTTCCATTGACGACCAGCGAGACTTCGCAGCTGCAACGATTACGGCACCCTCCGACATATTTCCTTTCGATATCCACTGCCCAGTCTCTTTGTCCTTGGTAAGAGTAGCAGTCGTCGAATTGAGAAATCCTGACAGGCATGTCGCCCGCACCATCTGCAATCCTCACTCGAATACATCGATGTTCACTATCTGCTTACATGTCCACCAATCAGATCAGTTTTAGGATTCCCATAGTCTTTCGCAATATCGTCGTAGCTGTGCAATTCAGTTGGATCCCACCTCGCGACAATTTTTTTACAAACGTCTTCCGTCAGATCTGAATCTAAAAAAATCCCTCCGTGGGGCTGAAATCCCTTCGTAGGGTAGAATCCGAAAACCTCTCCAAGAGGCGTTTTCTCATTTGATCCGATTCCTCTCCCGACAACAGCGAGTTTGATCGCAGTCATCTTTCCTTCGGTCAACGTTCCCGTTTTATCGGAACAAATTACTGTGCACGATCCAAGCGTTTCAACGGCGGGCAATTTTCGGACGTTTGCATTACGAGCGACCATATCTTTGCAGCCGAGGGACAGACAAATTGTGACAACCATGGGGAGACCCTCCGGAATTGAAGACACACAGAAACCAACAGCAACGAGAATGATCTGAGAATAAAAATAAACGAAATAGCGAAACATAATAAGATTTCATGATTGACTGACAGATAAAACAGGATTGGCGTCGGGATGTGAAGGATCTGTATAATTTGTTAGAATCGCGATAACAACAATAACAACCAAGACAGCGATTGCAATAACGGCAATTAAACCTCCTAAACGATTCAATCCTCGTTGCATCGGAGTTAATTTTGAACCTCCCTTCGTCTCTCGTGCAAGTTGTTCAGCTATTTTTCCAACTTGAGTATCCATGCCAGTTGCGTAGACCAAGTTGAGGGAATTCCCATTAGTTACTGACGTTGACGCGAAGCACAAATTTGTTGCAAACGGGGGTCTGTTCGTCTTTTGGTAAAAGAGTTTTCTTAACATCCTCAGATTCACCTGCAAGTGAAACTACAAATCATGCACCACCGAGTTGCCCACCAGTGAGAATTGCTTCATTTGCTTTGAGTTCTGATACCTGAATGCATCGCATGTCCGCAGGAACTGAGTCTCCAGTGTCGAGCTTCACAATGTCTCCTGGGACAAGATCGATTGCATCAATTTCGACAAAATCGCCGTTCCTCAAGACCTTGCAATGAGGAGCTGCCAGAGACGCCAACTTTGCCAAGGCGTCTCCAGCTGATTTTTCCATATACGTCGCCAAACAAGCATTGATCGAAATAATTATCAAAATTGCTGCGCCTTCAATCCAATTTTGGAACGCTAGAGAAACGACTGCGGCGATCAGAAGAAGAATGACAACCGGGCTTGTGAATTGCTCCAAGAAAAGTTTCCAAATTGGGACACGCCTCTCTTTATCTAGAATATTTGGACCATATTTTTCGCGATTTTCCATAACTTGTTGATCCGTCAGTCCATTTCGAATATCAGAATCAAACTCCTTAACAAGTTCTTCAAGTGCTGTTGTGCTCCATTTATTTTTTCCAGCCGGTTTTTCTGATGCAACTGTATTTTGTGCTCGTGCAAATCCCTCTGGATCTGATTCACGCGCAAGTTGAACTAATTCTTTTAAACTGTATTGTGAGCGACTCAATCGCTCGACAATTTCCTGAGTGTTGTTATCTGGATAGTCGGAAATATTCCAAGCAGATCCATCGTGATAAAGTTTCGGCGATCCGTCATTGAATGACGGTGAAGTGGCAAGAAGTCGATGAGCTAGAGTGTGATGAACATGAGAAGCCTTCTGAGAGGGTGTGCTGGCCCAACTGATATCTCTGCTGGGTTGCCTCTCAGGAGGTGAAAGTTTATTCTGATCGTCTTTCATCGTTTTTTTGGAGTTCAAAGCATATCGGAGTTGAGATGTCGATTTTCTGATGAAGCGTCGTTTCGGAGGTCGTAGAACTTTTAACGGTGATTCTACACCTTGACTATTTCAGCACCAGACCTGAACAATTTGAACTCTGCATGACAACTCAAGGTCGGCCTGAAAGTCATACAGAGCGATTTACCAAAACGAGACCTTCGCTTTCTGATCGCTGCAGTTGAAGGATTTTCCCAGCGAGTCTTGGGAGGTCTTTCAGGTCTACTTCGTGTTGTGGGACAATCTGGGAAGAAGAAATCGAAGGAGGCAACGCGTCAGGCTCAAGTATTTGTTTCAAGTGTTGAAGAGTTTCTGTCCCTCCATCTTCCTCCGAGTGGCTGGAATGTCATTTTGGGTGGAAGCCTCGGTTTTGCCGTGCGAGGGCAGCATCAGTCCACCGCGGTGCTGCGTGTCACCGGAAGCTCTTTGATAGGAAGTTGTCTTATTTTGATCTTTCGAGCTCCTTCTTCTATTGGCGATATATCTTCTCAATTGATTGAGAAAAGAGACGCGAAACTGATCGAAACAAGCGCTGAATCGAAACAAGCTGATCAACTCGAAGGAAAGGAATCAGATGATGGGACGAGCGACAAGGGATCCACTTCGAGCGATGATGATGATGATGATGATGATGATGATAGAGAAGAGAGTCAAGCATCGAATGTCAAAGTTTATATAAGATCGTTCAATGTCATTGATAAGATTGGATTAACGTCAAAGGAAGGTGAATTGCCACAAAGCTGTCCAGCAGTTATTAGAAATTGGGGATTTTTGCAACTCTCAAAAGAAACACAAAAACGAAATTTAATAGAGACTCTCCAGAAATGTTGTTTTGAAAATCGACTTTCCGGAAATGAGGATCTTCAGCTGTTAGCCAAGAAAGTCCAAGATGCCCTCGTTATTCTTTCGGGTCCTCTTTGGCATGTTTGTGTCGCTCGAGAAGATATTCAACTTAAAACTGGTCTGTACGCTCGACTTGTTGCTTGTTTTCATTTTTGCTTTTCAGGGAGTGTACCGATTGTTGAATTTCGGGCTGATTGGATTTTGCGAAAGTCTGAACGACTTCGAATTGTTTCTTTCCAGTTATTAGGAACTTCTCCACTACAAGCAAAATTGTGGGAGAAAGCCATGAACATCATTCCCTATGCGTCTACTGCAGTCATTTGTGTATTTTGGATGCTTAGATCGCGTGTTTGTAGTGACGGAAGTGTCGATACACGCCCAATGACTGCTTTCCATAAAGCACTTGGAGACAGGTATTCGTGACTAGATGTGTGTTTGACATTTCTTGCGTTTTCAGACTTTGCGGCCACAGGGGTCTTGAATTCACAACGGGACTTTTGTTTTGTATTCTTCTGGCGATTGGTATTACAAAAGTGATTCGCCGGATGGTTTAATGATTGTTGCTTGTGTTTTTCTTTTTTTCTTCCTTTTTGGTTCTTCGACTGCTTTATCAGCGATGAGACGGCAATGCATGCGAACTGATTCGTCTCAATTTGCAAGTGATGTCTTCTGTTTTTTTACTTATCACTGTGTTGTAATAGAGTGTTGTTCCCAATTCGGTTTTTTGCGTCTTCTACATATAACTTCAATTATGCAGCAACCACACAAGCACAAGTCGAGTAAAGCCTCTATCCCTCGCCCTCCTTGTGATTGGCTCATTCCCGATCGGTATGAAGTCCGCCATTTGATTGGGGCCGGATCGTACGGACATGTTTGCGAAGCGTACGACCGTCAAGAAAGGAAGGTGGTTGCAATCAAAAAGATCCAGAGGGTCTTCGAGGATCTGATCGACTGCAAACGGATTCTTCGCGAGATTGCGATCTTAAACCGGTTAAAGCACGATAATATCGTCAGAACACTCGATATTTGCGTCCCTCATGATCTAGACAAGTTTGATGAATTGTACCTCGTTTTGGAAATCGCGGACTCCGACTTCAAAAAATTATTCAAAACTCCAGTTTTTCTTTCTGAGCTTCATATCAAGACGCTTTTATACAATTTACTGGTCGGAGTGAAGTATACTCACACAGCAGGAATCTATCACAGAGATTTAAAACCAGCGAATTGTTTGGTCAATCAAGACTGTTCAGTCAAGATTTGTGATTTTGGATTGGCAAGAACAATCGACACTCCAGCAAATTCTTCGACGCTTCCGAATGATGAGAATGAAGCTCAAGTTGGAAAAAATATGAAACGTCAACTGACGGGACACGTCGTGACGCGTTGGTATCGCGCTCCAGAGCTCATTCTTTTACAAGAGAAGTATACAGAGGCAATTGATGTTTGGTCGGTTGGATGCATTTTCGCTGAGCTTCTGGGAATGATGAAGGAAAACATGTCGTCCCATATTGACAGAGCACCGATATTTCCAGGAAATTCCTGCTTTCCTTTATCACCCGATCAGAAGCACGCTTCAGATTACAGATTTTATACTCGGGGTAATCGTGATCAACTTAATATGATCTTCAACATTCTGGGAACTCCAAGTGAAGAAGACATTCAATGTTTGGAGAAGGAAGACGCGAAAAAGTACATCGGTATTTTTCCACCACGGGATGGTATTGATCTCTCAACGAAGTTCCCTGGAGCTTCATTGGAGGCCGTTAATCTGTTGAAGCGCATGCTTGTGTTTAATCCTACAAAACGCATCACAGTGGATCAAGCACTGAGTTCCCCGCTGTTCAAGGACATTCGTAAGGCGTCTCTCGAAACTACAGCGCCCCACAAAGTGAAGTTGCCCTTTGATGATTGGAAAGCGATGACTGAGCACCAGCTTCGATACGCTTTTCTCAAAGAGGTTCAGAGGTTCCACTCAACAGTTGTGATTCCACCGTCGCTCGAAGTGGCTAATCGTTAAAAGTTGGGTGGATGCATCAGAAGAAGATTTTTCTGTCCCAAGGCCAAAGAGACCGGTATGAATGTGATGACAGGCCCATGAGTGTAATCCAGCTACATGAACTACTTTCTTTTATTTATTCAAATTTGTGTCAATATCATCCAACGTGTGAATACAGATGCAATATATCTTGATGAACCTTTTGTTAATGAACACTTAATTCGCTGGTCTTTGTTTTTGCTAAACCATATTGTCCATGGAGAGGCATCATAGGGATTTCTTCCAACTGCAAAAAGATAGGAACCACAAAAAGGTGTAGAACTGAATCGCAACAACTTTACCTTTTTGGTTTCTTGTTGTTTTTCTGATAAAAGTGGGAATAATTTACTTGAAAATGAATAAAAAAAGGACCTACATTCACCATGGCAGTTAAATTGTTGTTTGTAGTTGAGCAAGATAAAGTAATTGTTCACAAAATCAACAAATCCAGGAAAATAAGCAATTGAATGGGTTTCACCGAAACTGAGTCTTCGTCGTTTCAACGTAATTTTTTGTCCTGCTCGTTGGTACGTTAATCGCGGAGTTCTCCCTTCTGAATTATCGCAAGACATTCGAACCCAATCGCTCATTGATTCCAGAGGATCAACGGATGTCAGGTGGAAGATGACTTCTTTATTTTGACTTTGCACTACCAACTCAATTCTTGAATCGCGCAGTCTAATTCGGATTGGGAACAACCGTTTTTCGCTCTTCGGAAGGTTTTCAAATCTCTTAGATTCACTTGGGCAATAAAGATGGATTCTTCTTGACGCTCTTCTCTGAAATATTCTCGTTCTAGAGAAGATTAATTCTAAAACATCAAACTTCATTTTGCTTCCCTTCGATTCCACATCAAGGGATTTCCTATTGCGCCAGTAATCTTCGTCAAAGTCATCCCCGGCGACTCGCTCTTCTTGACGGGCTTTTCTGTATTCGACGACATTCAACTTTTCATCCCTCAGAGCTCTCTGAACGATATTCTGGTTGAGAAGAACGAAACAGGATCTCCGTGTAAATTGAATTGAAAGAGATTCAGCGATATCGATTTCATTGAGGCGAAGTCCGGCGATAATATTTTCTAACAATTCTGCGCAAGATACTGTTACAAAGAAAAATGAAAAAATGGAAAAAAAGAAAAGCATCTACACTGCGTGATGTTCGTGTGTTTGTACGGTGACTAGGGTCCACAAGACCCGTTGTGGGTTCCAACTGCCTTATGGACCTCAACGCGATGCATTAAGCTTCTGTTGGCTCGAGCATGGATGTAGATTGGAAGATAATCGACATACGTCAGTGGGAATGCAGGCGCGAGACACGAACTGGCTGACTTGTGGCAAGTCTTCGCATTAACAGGGCTGGCAGCGCCTCGCCGGCAAAGTATAGCGAGACATTCGTGCATTGTAGAACTTTTTATGCGCGAAAATCCTGTAGTACTCGGCGTTCAGAGCCGAGAGCCCACGCGACTTGTTCTAGCGCTTGCGTAAAGTCAGAGTCAACTGTGGAAAGTCTAATAACAAGAGAGACTGCCCCCCCCGTTGAATCAACTGCCCACTGGAATGATCTACAGAGTCTCAGCTACCGTTTCACGTCCGATTCTGTCAATCATCACAACGTCCCGTACTGTTCGGTTCGTGACCCCGTTTCCTCAACCACTCCAACGTTTGGGGGAGAGTTGGAACGTCAAAGGGCCGCTTTTGATCTTCAAAACGTCCATGTATTGTACCGCCTTGTAGCAATCAATAATTTACACTGAGATTAATCACCGAGTGAGATCTATCAACAATTTCCACCAAGTGAGATTAATTAAATGAACGAGCCCTAAATATTTGAGGCAAGCGGTCTTGTGCTGTGCATTAAAGATCACTCGTTCGTTTAGAACGGCCAGTTATCCTGCAGGTTCATTTAAATGGACTGGGCTCCATTTCAACGCTCGACCCCAGAACTTGTAAGACAGACGCGAAATGGCCTTCATCGATGATTTTTCCTTAGCAATGTTCTGCTGGGTATGAAGATGAAGGTTTTGTCTCACCCTATCAGTAGGCAAGCTGTTTTCATTTTTGAGTCTTGCGGCGTTTTCGTAGGCCAACCTCAAAGGTTTGTGCGAAATATAGTATTAGTGACTGTAATTCACACATTTTGAAGAAATCTGGTTCTACAGGAAAAGCTGGGTGCCCTCATTGAATTCGCTGACCTGACTGAAGCTGATGTTTTGGTTGAGTAAGATGTTGTCCTAGAAGCAGCGCTACTCCCCCTTTCAGTTTAGGATGTGGGGATGGTAGAGTTATCAACGAGGCAGTGAAGGTGGCAAAATGCAGAGGTGCGACTATACATGTTCCTTGTATGTCGTTTGAATAATTTGTTTGAATAATTTGTTTAATAATTTTACTTGTAGGAATTGGAATTGATCTTGATGGAGGATTAATCGAGGAGGCAAGGGCCGCTGCTGAAGATTCTGAACGAGCGAAGTTCATCGTTGGAAATTTCTTTGATTCTTCTGTTGATTTCACTGAAGCAACTGTCATGTGGGTCTTTGTTTATTTGTCCGTGCAAAAATGAATATTTGTTTGATTCACAGATTTGTGTATCTTATTCCTGACGGTCTTCTTAAATTGAAAGAAAAGCTAGCAGAGACATCAAAATTGAAAAGACTAAGGAAAATAGTGTCGTTCTTTTGGGGAATTCCTGGATGGAGTCCCACACGACACGATTCGCGTTTACAACTTTTCGAGTACAAACTCGATATTCACTCGACTATATTATGCGAAGAGTGCCGTTTCGCCTGATCATTAGCAAATATCTTATCAAACAAGATGATTGATCTTACGTCTTCCTTCCCGCTTTTAGTCCCGAAAAGATAATTGATGAAACGAAAGCCTCGAGTTTTTTGTTCACCTTTCGTCCGTTCAAGTTCTACAACCAAATCAGCATCAGTGGTGACGCTATGGGACCCACTTTTTCTGTATTGGCAATCGAACTGATCGCGAAGGCGTAATACGACGAAGTATTGGTTGACGAAATCGACAAATCCAGGGAAATAGCCAATCTCATGTGTTGTTCCCCAATTGAACCATCCACGTCCAAGATTGATTTTTTGTTGTATTCGATTCCCGGTCAGCATAGGTGTTCTTTTTTCTGAAGCCTCACAAGCAATCCTCGTCCAAGTGCCAACCGATTCCACTGGATCTGGCGAAGTCACCTTAATAACACGCTCTTTATTTTGACTCCGAATGACCAATTCGATGACCACCTCATGTGCACGAAGCTCAATCTCAAAACGACGGGTTGCTCTTGTCTTGAGCTTCGCAAATCTTCTATCTGCACTAGGACAATAGAGCCGTATGGTTCTGGCCTTTAATGTTTGAAACATTCGCTCCTTTGGGAAGATCAATTCCATGACATCAAATCGCATTTTGGTTCCCTGTGGATCAACATCGATGGTGTTTTTCTTCTTCCAGTAGTCGTTATCCCTTTCATTGCCCGCAACGTGCTGTTCTGATGGTCCCTTCCTGTATTCGACCACATGTAGTTTTTGGCCAAATAATGCTCTTCTTGTCATATCCTCGTTTAGCAGCACGAAACATGACTCTGGTCGATACACAAGTGCAAGATCACTCTCGATATCAAGCTCTGCAATTGGTAGTCGGTACACCACATCTTCTATCAAGAGGGAACAACGAGCAACTGCAAGAAGAAGCGAAAAGAAAAAAGAAAAAGGAAGAACCATTTCAGTACTACCGTTCCATACATGCCTGACCGGTTATATCGGTATTGCAATTGGAGCATGGACAAAAATGCTGATTCATCCATAAAAACAGAAGATTTCTTGAAATGAAGATTTTGCATCCCTTCTGGTGTTGCTATCCAGCACATTATACACGAGAGAGATTTGATGTTGATCAAGGTTTTGTCAGGAAATGGATTCCGTCTTGTGGTTGCGGGAGTTCAAGGGTTTATTTAAGGCCTCTGTAGCTCAGTCGAATAATTCATGAGAATTCATTGATTTGTGTTTCAATGTTCCCTTCATGGTTGTCATCAGGATGTAAGGGGTTCACTAAACTCTATACATGTCCATCTCCTAATATCTTGTGACACTCAACATTCCAACAAGAGAAGCTTCAAGTAAATCTTTCTTATTCTTCTGCTTGAATCAAGAGATCCATGGATTAGCGAAACGTTCTGATTTGTCTGACCATCAGACGATTCACGTTTTTCTCAAGAGATTTGTCTGTCTTGCTAATCCACCATCTCCCATCCTAGTGCTTGAAATAAGTTCCTGTTACAAGACCATCAAGAAGATCGTACAAACTGAACTCCGTCGGTGGCGGATCGTTCCGGTTGAGTTGCTAAACGAACAACCAACAAAGCAAGAGGATGGAGGGCTCAGTAAAAAATATCACGAAAAAATCGGAGAACGTCTTCCATATAGATGGGCGCTATACTACCTTGAACCATGCTAATACAAAAACAAACGAAAACTATGCAAGCGCACGATTTTTCGATTTTTCGATCTGTTTCTTTTCCATCTGTTGTTTTGGAGCAATTTCTCTCACAATCTGGATCTATCGCGAGCAGTCTTGCCGCCACAGATTCTTCTGGGCTATTCGACTCCTCCGCTAAACCTCCTGACAAAGCTTGCAGACCACTGGTCGCCTCTGAAGCTTCTTGTTGTGAAGTCAGCAGTGGCTGCAACAGCAGGGCGAGACAATTGAACCGACGCAGAATTTGCTGGTTTTCCTGTTTGACTCCCTTCAATAGAGAAGCTTTTCGATATCGTGGAAAACTTTCCATTCGTGGAAAACTTTGCTTCATTACTGACTGCATGCGATCGTTTTATCAGTTACCAAACCTATTCATAACAACAAGATTCTTTGATCCTTATCGGCAGTTTAGCAATTTTCATTAAAAAACTACAGGCAGAGGAAAAAAGTCCGTCGTCCAATCGTGCAACAACATTGCTACATTGTTTGCCTCCCCACAACTTC